TATCCGAAACGACATACGAGAACCATTTTTATTGAGGCCCTCTACAAGTACGACCTCAGTATTGCATTCGTAAGGACGAATAATTGTTCTTACCATCAATCTTAGTTAACACTTTTCCACTTTTCCCCACGTTTTTTAAAATGCAAAAAAGATCATCTGCTTATACTGTCATCTAAAAATCTGATGTGTCCAACACATGACTTTCCTATCTAGTTATTATAGGCTTTTTCCGGGTATTTTGTACAACCTATTGCAGCATCTCTATAATGTTTAGAGGATAAACTAAATATATACATTGTCCACATACATCTACCTCGAAACATTTTTCTATAAATATTCATTGAAAACAAAAATACTAAAAAATTTAAATTTAGCACTTTTCAATTACGGTCCATTTTAGAAAAATCATGTATAAACAAAAATTATAGAGATCGATATCGCAAACAATTTTGCACATTTTGTCAAATTTCTCGAAAACGGACCATTTCAGGAAATTTTGACATAAAACAAAAATTATAGATAATAATATTGGAAGTAACTTTTATTTGAATAATTTTCTTCCAAACATAAATAACAGATATATTCCATAAAATATAAAAACGGCCTCTAATAAAGTACCCCCCTAGATGTTCCGACTTTGTCCAAAATCTAATCATTTCACGTCAGGCCGAAATAAACCTTAAGTTTAAAATTTAATGTTTTTTTCTTTATCCGTTTTTGAGTTTTCTTCAAAATTCGAAATTTACATCTTTTCTCAAATATCTCGAATACGGTCCATTTTAGAGAAATTATGTATGGAATAAAAATTATAGAAAATTATATTACAAACAACTTTTATTTGAACAATTTTTATAAAAAAATATTTTTTTAACATTTTGTCAAATTTCTCGAATACGGACCATTTTAGAAAAATTTTGTATAGAACAAAAATTATAGATAATTATATTAGAAGTAACTTTTATTTAAAGAATTTTCTTTTCCAAACGTAAATAACAGATATATTCCATAAAATATAAAAATGACCACCTATAAAGTACCCCCTAGATGTTCCGACTCTGCCCAAAATCTAATCAGTTTATAAGACGTTGGAATAAAGCTTAAGTTTAAAATTTGGTGTTTTTCTATGTATCGGTTCATGAGTTATGCGACACACAGACACACACACACACACACACACACACACACACACACACACACACACACACACACACACACACACACACACACACACACACACACGCACGCAGGCACGCACGCACACACACACACATCATCGCGAAAATAGTCAAAACGGATTCAGGGGACCTCAAATCGTAAAAATCCGTCGAAAACTCGAGGTCGAAAAAAATCATGATTCCTATACTTTCCTTATATCTGTATACAGATAGGAAAGTAAAATGCTAAATGATGGGTATCAGTAACAGTTAATTGGGAATCAAGTTTTTCATCGAAGTATTATCTGGTGTTCGACAAGGATTCGATTGTGGTCCGCTTCTTTTTAATTTATTTGTGAATAATATTGCCTATTATATTAAAATGTCTCATTTCCTACTATTTGCATATGATCTGAAAATCTGTAAAATTGTGTTTAAGTATTTATATTTAATTTAACAGGTACCATACTAATTTATTTATTAAATAATACATCTAACAGACTTTATCAGCCCAATTACAGGAGTATATAATATATTTAAAAATACAAATGTTGAGAATACGTACTTAACTAAATTACATTCTAATTACCTAATTTGATACCAATCTGTAACTTTGGTCTCTAAATTGGTAAAATTTTAGAAAAAATATATCAACAGAATGATTGACACATTGTAGTTAAAGGACTGTGAAAGTGATGTTGTGAATTTGGCACTTGAATTTGACCTTGACGTAATACGAGGGATATGAAAATTAAATTGAGACAGCAGAGAAGATGAATCTGTAGAATTATTAATTAATTTATAGATGAATATCAAATCTGCTATTTCTCTTCTTTTTCTCAGACTCACAAAACTGAATTCTTCTAACAATAAATTATAGTCCTATTCGGATAAATTTTAAAAAAACGTTTTTATAATTGTTTGATTTTATAATTAAAAATTTATTGCTATAAGATTAAAAAAAAATTATCTGGAAACTTTTCTGAAATTAAGAAACTTAGTTGTAAAATAAATGTTGAACTCTTATATCCAGAAACATAAACGCTGATGTTTTCTAATTCACAAAAAAATACTGTCGCTTCGATTACCTTAGTTTAAATTGTCAGTAGTGAGTTCACTAGAAGCTCGTATGCATAATTAAGTTAACGTGCTCTAGAAAAAAGATCAGAAACGAGAAGCTTTATCCGATATTTAAATTTTAAAATTTACTGGCAAAGTTAGCGCTGTTCGTTACTTTCATCTCGATATATTTCAGTTACACTTTATATAGGGGGTTAGGTATAATTGGAGGAATATAATTTTTTTGGCTTGATTGGACAAGTAACAAAAATGCTCGAAAAATGTCGATTTTTTATTTTAGCTGTCCCATTTTGTGATACGTATATTATCACTATTCCATATATGATGTCATAAACAGTTAAACACTCAATATTTAATTTTCCCAATGATATGCGCTAAAGACCTGATAGTAAGAAAGTTAATTAAATATTAGGTATTTAATCGGTAATATCTTTCTGATTTACATAAATTTAAATTGTACTGATTAAAAATAATGAACAAAAACCTTAGCAAGAATTGAAATGGTGTAATTGGACAATGCAGTGGACGAATAACAACAGAGAGACGCTTAAATGGTGGTTCTCACCTTATCGAGACTGAGGTCCACAAGGGTCAAAAAACGAGAAATGATTTAACTTGGAACGAAGACATTGAATTTTTTGATTTGTGAAATATTGGCATTACTTAGGTTGTGATGATTTTCACAAGCCTTGATTTTTAAAACCGTTCTACATCGCCTTTTGATTAGGGTTTACAAACTTGTTTGAGCCATTTATCCAATAATAATTGGTCCCTTTACCTCTTAAGCCTGCTCATGTAAAATATTTACTTCGCCTATTATTTATTTCGTATATGTTGGGTTCGTTAAATATTTCGTAGATTTCTTTGTTTCTTCGTATTTCCCATCCTTCTTCTGTCTTTTTGCCCCCATATATTCTTCTTAGTATCTTTTGTTCCCATATTTCAATCTTGGATGTTCTTTCTTATTTAGTGTCCATGTCTCACTGCCGTTAGCATTGTAGGTCTGTTTATTGTCTTGTACACAGATTTCTTTATCTCCCATAACAATTCTTTAGATTTTAGTAAATTATGTAAAGCTCCTGCGCATCTGTTGCTCTTTGCTAGACGGAGATCTATTTCAGCTTATTCTTCGCATCTATTTGTAATGAGAACACCGAGGTACATGTAACTGTCTGTTTCGTCTATTGTTATTTTTCCTATGGTTTTAGTTTGTAATTCTAGCTTTCCACGATTTTTTCTTAAATGTTTGTTTTTAAGTTGCATGTACTGACTTTTCTTTTTATTTATTCTTAGCTCCATTGTTCCTGCCGCGTCTAATAACTATTCTGTTATGTCTTCAAGTTCCTTTTGGCTTCTTGTTAACAGTACAACATCATCTGCGTATGCTAATGCTTGGTGGAATCTGTTGATCATATCTGTTTATTCCACATTTTCTGATGAATATATCAAGGGTTTAGTTAAAAAGAAGGGTGGATAATTGGTCTCCTTACCTACTACTCTTATTGCACATCTAGTATTTTCCAGGGTCATTTTTACTAGTTTAATAAATATTTTTAGTTCTTTTAAAGCATTTACCAATTTTAGTCGATTTGCTGTATCATATGCACTTTTAAAATCAATAAACATAATATGGGTCGGTATTTCGTATTCGTAGGAACATGTGGGTACCTGTTTTAAAATAAAGATTTGGTCAGTCGTTGACCTGTCTTTTCTAAAGCCGCATTGATATTCTCTGATAATTTTTTCATCTTCTACTTCTATTCTTCTTTTTATTTACGTGGCTAGTACCTTATATGTAACATCCAGCAAAGCTATACCTCCATGGTTTTCACAGTCTGCTGAGTCCCATTTCTTATATATTGGCAATATTACTGCTTTCCTCCAATTTAGTGGCATTTCTTCCGCTTTCCATATTTTTTTTATTTGTTGTATTATTTCTGATATTAGTTGTTGTCTCCCATATTTTAGGTTCCCTGTGGTAATTTTGTTTGATCAGTGGCTTTTATTATTCTTCATATTTGAAATAATTTATATAATCTCTTCTTTTGTGGGTTTCTCAACGGTGTACGGTGTATATAGGGTCCTCATTTGCTTTTTCCTCTTCTTCTTCTTTCTTTTTCTTCTTCTTATTCTTCTTTGCTTTCTGCCGTTCAGGTTCATCGTTCAGTAATTTTTGAAAGTATTGTTTCCATCTTTGCATTTGCTCGCTTTTTCCTCCTATTAAATTTCCCTCCTTGGTCTTGATGTAAATATTTTTTGGGAGTGTTTTTTTGTATACCTTTACATCTGTATAGTTTAATTTCATTTTTTTGTAATTTTCTTGTATTTCTGCGACTTTATTTTCCTGATGACGGCTTTTCTTATTTCTGCACATTTTTTTAAGAGCCTTTCTTTGTTCTATATATTTTTTTCCGTCTGTATTATTCCCTGTCTGTAGGTATTTTTTTCTCAGTTTGCGTTGTTTTTTTATTTTTTTCATCACATTCGTTATCTAACCATTCCTTTCTTTTCTGCGTTTTTTTCTTATTAATATTTTTCTCAGTTTATGTTTTTATGGTATTCTGTATTATTCCATTTCTTCTCTGCTACGTTGGCCATTTTTCTTTCTATGTCTGCTTTATATCTCCTTGATACCTCGTTTACATTTAATTCTTCCATGTTATATTTTGGGTTTATATTTCTATAGATGTTTTGTTTTACCTTTTTCTGTTCTGTTTGAATTATGTTAGCAATAACTAGAAAGTGATCGGAGTTTGCAACTGCCCCTTAGTAAAATCTAACATTTTTTACTAAGTTTACGATCCGTTCCCCAATGAGAAAGTGGTCTATTTGATTTGTCTTTGTGGTACCTGGTATGATCCATGTTCGTTTGTGAATATCTTTCCTTTTGAAGTGTATGCTCATGATTCTCATATCTCTTTCTATGGCTAAATTTATTAATCTTAGACTGTTATTATTGCTTATATCGTGTTTGCTTTTACCTCCCGTTATATTTTTGTAAATTTTTCCTTTGCCTACTTTTGCGTTTGCATCTTCTATAATTATTTTCAGATGACTTTTAGGAATTTCATCATATACTTTCTCTAGTTCTTCGTAGAATTCATCTTTTATTTCCTCATCCGTTTCTTCTGTTGGCGCTTGGAAGTTAACTATTGTTATATTTTGTATTCCGCTTTTTATTTGTATTTTACATAATTTTTCTGTCACTGCTTTAAAATTTACTACTGATGCCTTTATATTTCTGTGTACTAAGGAACCCATTCCAAATCTACGGCTTTGATTTCCAGTTGTGAAGATTATATAATCTTGTATATCCAATGTATTTTTCCTGGTTAAATGAGTTTCCTGCATTGCTAGGGGAAATGCGCCTAATATCGTACATCTTCCTAATATCGCACACCATAATATTTTCTACGTCATTGCTATAAACTACCTGCAGGCGGCTAAACAAGTTCTGCAGGCTGATTTGTTAGTGTATAGTAAGAATTAAGAGTGATAACAACGAGTATGTTAGCTCTGTGAATTATTGGAATATTTTACGCGCGAAAACTTTTTTTGGGGCTATCTTCAACATTATATGTTACTAGCAACGGTAAGTTTTTTTATAATTGAACTGTTCCAGAGACATTATTGAATGTTGTAGTTTTAATAGTTATAATTTGATTTTTAATTGAGTTCGTTGTTTCGACAATATTAAAAAAATATTTTTGGTCCTAAGTTTTCCTAATATCGCACTATTCCTAATGTCATAATATCGCACTGTGCGATATTAGGAATACTATAATTTGTAGATTTGTAAGGGGGATATCTACGCCTGTCGTTACTTCGACCTAACATATATTTTGTGAAAAATACTATAGTTTGGTGTAGATTAAAGCAAAACAGAAATTTTTAATTACAGATGCCGCCTAAAAAAAGGAAACAGTGGTTGACAGAAAGCATGAAACGAGCAATATTAACTGTTAGAGCCAAAGAAATGAGCCTGTTACGTGCATCGAAACATTTTAGTGTACCTAAGTCAACATTAAAAGACAAAGTGAACAGTGCTGAAGAGGATGTCAATAAGTTAGTATCTATAAAGCTTGGTAGAAAACCTACACTCGATATAGAGTTAGAAGAAGCATAAGTAACGTACTGTTTGGAAATGGAATCTCGGTTTTATGGACTAACAGTAAAAGACGTAAAAAGAATGGCGTTCCAATTAGCTGAAAAAAATGGACATCCGCACCCATTTCGCAAGCAAGATGAAGCAGCAGGATGGAAGTGGTTTCGTTATGAGAAGGCATCCACGACTTAGTTTAAGAAAACCACAGGCCACATCTTTAAAAAGAATTACGGGATTTAGCAAAAAGAACGTAAAAGATTTTTTTGACCTGTATGAGCCTCTTTATAGTCTTGTTAAGAATTCCCCAAACAAATTGTACAATTGCGACGAAACTGGTTTAACCATTGTACAACACAAAACTAGTAAAGTGATATCTCTACGTGGCAAACGTCAAGTTGGAGCCATTTCCTCTGCAGAGAGGGGTTCCTTAGTAACGATGGTTACATGTATGAGTGCAACAGGCCATTATATCCCGCCCCTTTTGGTATTTCCAAGAAAAAATATGAAACCAGAGCTATTGGACGGCGCTCCAAATGGAAGTTCAGCAGCGTGCCATAAATCTGGATGGATTGAAGCGGAAAGTTTCCAAAAATGGTTTAAGGAACAATTTTTGGCAAATGTAAAGCCTTCCAAGAACGATCCAGTGGTTTTGATATTAGATGGCCATTATTCTCACACACGAAATCTGTCATTGCTAGAGTTGGCCCGAAATAATGTGGTGCATATTGTAAGTTTGCCACCCCATTGTTCCCATAAAATGCAACCTCTTCATAGGTCATGCATGGCATCTTTTAAGACTTATTATGCACAAGCTATAGAATCATGGTTAAAGCACAATTCATATAGAGCTATAACCCACTACCAAATATGAAAACTTTTAGGTGAAGCTTATAACAAGGCAGCAACAGTTGCTACTGCAGAAAACGGTTTCAGGAAGACCGGATTATTTCCACTAAACCGCAATATTTTCCAAGCTCATGAGTTCGTTGCTCTCGAAACTGAGTCAGAAGTAGACGTTCAACAGTCAGTGTCCAGCAGCGCTCCTCCATCAGTTATTCTTGATGATATTCAGCAGCCTGGACCTAGTAATATTCAGCGAGCTGCCGCTGCTATTTATAAACCAGGACCTAACCACATTTGCCAAAAAAATGTCTCGGAACAGTCAGGACCAAGCAGCCCTTATCCTTCTAGAATAATGCCAGTTCATATCAGCCCACTTCCTTTTATAAAACCAAAAACTCACAGTGTTAAATGTAGAGGACGACCAAGCCATCCAGCTGCAGTAATTTCAAGTCCGCCATACAAGGATCAGTTGTCTCAAGACATTGCAGAAAAGGAAAGAAAAAAAGAAGTCAAAGCGAGCAAAAGTGTTAAGAGAAATATAAATCCAAAATTAAAAGCACCACCTAACAAAACAAAAGGCAAGAGAAAGAAGGTAACAGATTCGTCTTCAGAATCAAGTGAAGAAAATATTGATGAGCCGTTGACTGTCTCCACAGATGAAGAAGATAGTGATGATGATTGTGAGTGCCCCTATTGCAATCAAACTTATTTAAGTGATAAAAAAGGTGAACCGTGGATAAGATGCATTAAATGTCGCATTTGGTGCCATGAAGCATGCTCTGGTTCTGATGATTATTCAACTTTTGTTTGTGACTTTTGTTTAGAAGGATAAATTGTCAAAAATCAAAACTACTCACCAATATACATTTTTTATACTATTCTTTTAATAAATACCTTGAATAAATAATTAAGTTTTATTTATACTAAATATAAATTAAGCAAAAGCTTAACATCGCACTATGCGATATTAGGAACATAACCTCTGCGATATTAGGAACACTATTTAAAAAAATAAACAAATGGCGGATTTCCATTTTTTTTTATTTTCTTTTTATGTAAATATCGTATAGTTATGTAAGTTCCTGTGACTTTTAGGAAATTGATGAAGTTTATAGAATATTGGATACTATTATTTTTTACTAGATATTAACCTTATAAATAAACATTAATAAAATGGGTGCGATATTAGGCACAATTCCCCTAAGATATCTAACTAATATTTATTTGTTTCTATTGCCAGAGTTTCTATTGCTCCTTCCTTGTAAATTCCCTGCAAGTTTCATGTTCCTATTTTCTTAATATGAATTATTGGCCTCGCTCTGTGTTCTACGGTTTTATTTGCTTGGAGTATAATCAAATATGTTTTTTCCCTGTAGTTCGTTGCCTTGATTATCATGTTTTGTGTTTCTTACTGCACCGTTATTTATTATTTTCTGCTCATTTTTTTGTCCATCACCATTTCCGTCATTTTTTTTTTAATCTCATCTTTATTTATTGGTTTTTAGTGTTAGATCGTATTATTTTCCTTACTTGTTTATTAAATCTGTTTTGCTCCGGTGATCTTTCATTTACAGTCCTCTTTTGACTGCTGCTTCCATCGCCATCTTCTTTTATCCTTCCTAGTTTTGATCGGCGTCTTTCTCCCTTACAACTCGTCGTTTATTAATAACTTATATCTTAATTGTGCTTTGTGGCCTTTATTTCTTGCTTTTTTCATTTTTATTAATATCTTTCTCCTTTCCTCTGGGACTTCCTTTGGATCGTCTTCATCAATCCATATGTTTGTGCCCTTTAGCTTCTGGTTTTCTGCAAAATCATTGTTCCCGTACTTTTCCTATTTAGTTTCACAAATATTGGTCTTTTCCTTTCAATGTTGTATTTGCCCATACTCCCTACTTCATCTATATCTTCTTTTACTGCGCTTTTTACTTCCATCTCTTGTAAAATTATGCATATTTAATCCTTTGTTTCCTTCTCATTTTCCTGTTCTTCATATTCTATTCCTTTTATGATAATATTCATTTCCTTATTTCCTCTTCTAGATTGTTTGTTCTTTCTTCCTGGTATGTCACTTTTTATATATAAGGGAATAAGGGCGGATCAGAATGTGCGAAGCTCTAGTTTAGTTGTCTAATGCAACTGATTTGTCGATATCAATTTACTAAAAACAACAGTTCTTCTTAAAATTACAAAATATTTAGAATAGTGTTCACAGAATAAATATCGCATGCCCTAATATCCTAATTTCGGCTCCTAAAGTAATGAAAAATAATACAGGTAAATAAAATCAAACGGCTGGTACTGGCATTATTAGGGATGCGGCCCGTAATTGGATAAGCCTGGTTGGAAGATGACGATAGCAGCAATATGAGAAAAAATGAGTTTTTTCTTATATATTGTAGCTGATGTCAAAAGAATAGATTGTGATGTTGATACAAATATCTGGCAGTCCCAAAAAATATATCTAGTCGACAGTTTCATATTATTGATCACATTTTTTCACACAACAACGTGTCAACTAGTCTAATCCTCTTATGATGTTTTCGAAGCTCGCAATACCCTTATTCTCCTATTATTATACGCTTAACGTGGCTCAACTATAACCGAAATAAATAAACCATTTTCCTTCCTCTTAAGTTCAGGAGCTCTTGTTCGATGAGGATGAAAGACAAATAATAGACGTTTGCAATTTACAAATAAATACATTTCGTCATGGATTTCCGAGTTATCTGTAAGAAAAAATATTGTTTCAATGTTGTTTTTCAAAGTATATTGTATTCATATACAGGGTGTACCAATAAAAACTCCCAGGCCGGATATTTTGGTAAGTAATAGAGATATTCTGTAAAAGCCAGTTCATAGAACGGTAAGAGAGCTTTAGTTTTAGATATAAATTGATTTTAAATAGGTCAATATGTAGATGGCGCTGTGCCCAATATTTTTTTTTCGATGGGAGGATCTTTCTTGTGTGGCGCATCTTGTAAAAAATGCATTTTTAAGCAGATTTTGTTTTAAGAACTAATACGATAAATATAGCCATTTTTGATATACAGAGTGGATCACTCAGAACCGTTTCATCTTGTTTTTCGGCACTAATAATTTGATTTTTAGAAAATGATAAAACAGGTTGATTTTTATTCCAAATTGAACACATTTTTACAATGCAGACATCTGTTCCACTTAATTTCGGAATTCTCGGAACGTCGATTAACGTCCGGTCGTCCAGTGTCGTGCCAACGCGCTTTTTGCGCTGAATATTAGATAAAATAATAATAGGCATTGAGGAAAATATAAAATATGTAAGTTATTATTTTTTTTTTGTTAGAACCTCGAATGGAGTGTTAAAGAATTATCGCCAAGTCGTTCATACCAAAAGTTAAAAATTATTAAGTTTTAGAAATGA